AGCCCCGGCCGCGCGGGATCAGGTAGGTGACGCGCGCGTCCCCTTTGTGCTGGCATCGCCTTAGCCCGCCGCGGCGCTGGCAGAGCGGGAGGGGGGCCGGTCGCAGTCGGCCTCAGGGTGTGAACCCTCCAGCCGCCTCGAGCACACCGCCCTGCTCCTGGCGCTGCTGCTGCCTCTCGGTGGCCCGCGTCCTAGTCGCCGGGGCCACTTTCGGACCGCGCATTTCCCCGCGCTCGCCTCCGGCCGGGGTCCAGCGGACGAGTTGGAACGCGGGGTCCTCTGTTGGGGAACCCGCCCCGGGCCCGGGGTTGGGAGCCTGGGGCCCGATACAAGGTCTCGGAAAGAACGAACGCGCCCGGGGCGGCGAGGTAGCGGGGAAGTCAGAGCTTGCAGGAGTCGGCGGGGCGCGGTGTCCTCCGCCTCGCACATCCCTGGCGCGCGCGATGACCGTGAACGCCCGCCCCGCCTGGCCTCCCTACCAGCCTGTCCTTGCGGTGGGTGCGCCGCCGCCGCTGCCCCGCGCGGGGAAGTTCCTGCAGGTCTCAGACCTCCCACCCCAGCAGTTCCCTCCCAGCTCCCCTGCACCATCCTTGGCTCCCTGCTATTTGGTCGCTTACGTAAGACTGGGGACTTCCCAGAGTTGGAAGAACGGGTGATTTCTGTTAACCTAATGATCTTCGTAAGCTGGTCTCGGGATGGTAGCTCTAAAGTTCGTGTTCTTTCTGTCTCTCTTTTTTTCTAGTGAAATATAAAGGCATAATCATTGAACAAATATCCTGTCTTGCCTTGTTCCAGGTCAAAAGCTGAGTAACAGGGAAGAGTTAGGCAAGCCCCAGGAACTGTCCCCAGGGGTTCCCTGCTGCCCTGCGGTGGGGGGTGGGGTGGGGGAGAGTGACTGGACGTCTTACATTTGGAAATACAGGACTTTTCGGGAGTGGGGCCTGGGAGATGGAATAGGACTTACAAGGGTGAATTGGGCTGAAGTGATTATTTGGGGGCGGGGGTAAGATGTGTTTATGAAGGAAAGACGAAAGACAAAGACGACAGTATCCGTGGCATGGACACCTGGAGACGGACAGTATCCGTGGCATGGACACCTGGTGAGGGGGAGTGCAGTTCACTGAGGGAGAGGAAGGGAGCAGTCCAGTGGCTTTGTGATGGTGGCAGTGTTGGCTCAGAGCCTCCAGCTGGGGCAGGTCCAAGGTGGTGGGAAGGGTCTCTGTCCAAAGGAGCTGCCCCAGAAAAGGAAAGAGGAGGGGCAAGGTGCGTGCCCTGGAAGTCCTGGTGGAATTCACCTCAGTGGTTCTGAAGGAGATGGGGACTTGTTTGTATTCTCGCCTCCAGTACTGAAATAGGGGCCTGGTATTTGTACTTTGGGGGGCCCTTTTTATTTTTGTTTTTATTAATTTTTGAAGGTTGCAAAGGAAACATGACTAGAGAGGTCAGTTGGGGATAAATCATGAAATCCTTGAATTACAGGCCCGGATTTGGGGCTTGACCCTGTGTCATTGGGAACCGTTGATGGTTTTAGAGGAGCACTCGTTATTCGAGTCCTGTTTCAGAGCAGCGGCTGGAGTTGAGAGAAGGGAAGGCCTGGTGCAGGGGGTGGGTGGGCTTCCACCTGGGTCCTTTGCCAAAGAGTCACACACGGGTGAGAAAATAGGTGCAAATTACTCAGCTTTCACGGTGAAAATTTCCCAGATCCCACACAGTTTGTGTTTTGCAGTTGGTGTTTACAGAGGCCGGGATTCTGTGTGCGCGCCTCTGGGTGCCTGATTCAGGCGCCTACAGGCGATGCCATAGCGGGTTTGAAAACTTGAAGAGCACTGTCAAATAAATGTTTTATGAGCAGGTTCCAGTGCCCTCGCTTGGCTAGTTGGCAGTCCCGGTGTCCAGGCTGTTACTGGAGTACAGTGTGTCCCTTGGGATCTGTGTGGTTTGGGACTTTGAGAGGACCTCACACACTGCTCAGCGAGGCTGCCAGGGCGCGGAGGTGAACGTGCCGCTCCGCCCGTCGGTGGCTGGACGGAGGCTGCCGGCCACGTTGCTTGGCGCTGAGAATGCTGTTTTTTCCACAGTGGTTCATCATTCGCCACCACTGCCCTCTTTTGTCCACATTTCTCCTCCCTCTGGGAGCCTTTCCCTCTGGTGGTGGAGACCGGGAAGGAAGTCTGTCGGTGCAGCCTGAGAATCGCAGAACCAGGTGGGTCAGCACAGATCTGCCTGCTCCATCCTTACTGTGAGGACCTGGTATCTCGGAGGGGGAGTTCAGCAACTCAGGCCATACAAAGGCTTTCCCACCCTGTCTCTGTCCCTTCTGCCACTCTGCATCTGAAATAGAGGATGGAGCTGGGTCCCTGCCCTGGGAGCTGGGTGGTACTGAGCCCCCACATCCTTGCAAGGCGCTGCACCAGCAACAGAGCCCTGCCTTCCTGGGGTGTGAGACCTCAGCAGCTGCCTGGAGGCCGGGAATGGAGTGGAAGAGGATGGTTTTTAGGAAGATGGACTCTTCCGGTCACCCTGGGGAGTTTTCTACCTTTGAGATCCAGGAGTGAAGTGGAAGGTGCCTGTCTTTAAGTGGAGAAGTCATTTGAGGTAACTGTTCTGGGACCATGCTCCATTCCCCCTTTGTTCTGCATTGCTGCTACCATATGAGTAGCTTTTCTTAATTAGAGGAAGAAATTAAATTTGTGCGACTTCACATACCGGCTGGGTAACAGGGCTGAGGGACAGAGCTTGTACCACTTCCCGACCCAGCTCTTTAACCTTGGGCTAGTGTCTGCGCCTCCCAGGACTGGCTCCATTCTTTCAGGACAAAATTGAGGTGGGGACTAAATGTCTGAGATTCAGGAATAAAAATATACTGCTTAGGTGATATTTTCTGAGGGAATCAGTATTTCAGGATTACTTATAGTGCAACCACTTTTACGGATTATTTGTAAGAGAAAAGATAGATCTTAATTTCAGAAGAGAGTGACTTTTCTCAAAGGTGATGTGTTGAGAAATAAGGGTGGTTCCTTGCTGATAAGACTCTCTCCATCTTCCCTCATGCTCTGAATAATCTAAAACCTGACTGGAATGTACTTCCTGGCTGTTCCATAGAGCTGGGACAAGGGCTTTCTCCAAGGAGCAGATGTTCAAGCTGGACGCAACATTTACAGAAAACTGACGCTGAGGTGTGTGTTGGCCAGTGTTTATTGCCTCCTAGTGCTTGTCGCTGAGGGCAGAGGAGATGTAGTTAAGAGTCACTAAGCCTGCTCTTCAGGGCTCTGCGTGTATAATACATGCAGTTCTCACATAGTCCTGTAGAGCAGGTATAGGTGACTGTCCCCAACTGACAGAGGAAGAGGATGGAGCAGAGAGCAGTGATGTCCATGGTCACACACGTGGTAAATGTTGAAGCTGGCTTTGAACCCGGAGGCTTCAGAGGCTGACAGATTCCATGCCCTTGAGGTGGTCCCAGTCTGGGGACACCACAGTTTGTATTAACAGTGGGTTTGGTAATGGTAGAGGTGTCCGCGTTGCAGAGGGATCCACAGGAGGGCTCCTCCTTTAGCCCAGGGAGGTGGACTGAGGAGTCTGTTTACTGAGGTGGGTGTTACTGGACAGGCCCGTGAAGAATGCATCGGAGTCAGCCAGGCAAATCTGAGGGCCAGGGCCGCATCGGGGCCAGGGTGGGCAAGGAGCTTAGAACCAGCACAGTGGTGCTGAGCTTCCTCCAGCTACTTTGCACTAGGATGTCCTGGATGGAGGGCAGTGGCCTCAGATTCAAACCAAGATTTCTGGGTGTAACCGAGCGTCTCCCGGAAGGTCCCCTCAGTGCATTTTCATTGTCCTTGTTGTGTGTGGGAGCCCCTCTCCTGTCAGTATTCCTCTGTTTCCTTCCCTTCTCCTTCACCTCCACTTGGTGGAGGAGAGCGAGTCAGGAACCCCTCAGGGATGGGAACCACCTGAGCAACATTATTCTCTTGTCCCCAGTGACCTGCAGCACCCTGGGGCCTGCGGTTGGGAAACCTTCAAGGTAGACGGATCGGGTAACGTGGGCTTTGGTGACTTTGGCTCAAGCAGCTGTCCAGGCAGAGACCCGCTGGAGTCAGAGGGAGGATTCCAGACCATGAGAGTGGATGCGGACAGTGTCTTGCAGGGGGGTGTCTGTCTTGGGAAAGGGCACGTCCCTTACACCATCGTCTTCCTAGAATAGTTTTTAGGCTTCCAGAGAGCTACTTTTCAGCAATCCTTTGGACTAGGCACAGGTGGCATTTACTGGGTGGCATTTAAGGTCCTCTGGAGATAGAGGAACTGCTATGCAGATCGTGACAAACTAGAATGTCTCTCAGACGTCTGCTGACTGCTGGCCGTTCAAACCACCGGGCCCAGACCTACCACAGTGCATGTTGGGATCCAGAACGCTTTGCTGGCCAGTGCCCTGCTGGGCTGCAG